GAAGGGGGGGGACATCGATGTAGGAGAGATACATCAGCTGGTTGCCTCCTGCATGTGCCCCAACTGGGGCCAGGGATCGAACCTGCAACCGAGGTAAGTGCCCTTGATTGGGAATAAAACCCACCACCCTTCAGTGTGTGGGCTAACACTCCAACCACTGAGCCACACTGCCCAGGGCTGTATGATAATGTTTCAAAGTCTGTCTTGATATAGTTTTATTATGAGAAAAGTTGACTCATTTTGTGTGTGTGTGTGTGTGTGTGTGTGTGTGTGTGCACGCGCGCGCGCATTTTAATTTCTATCTTACCGGCGTTCCTGCCCAGTGCTTTACTTTTCAAAAGCATTAACCTGTGAGATTGATCTCTGGGAATGCAATGGTCATTTGATTAAGAAACATAAGAAGGCTGCACCCCTCAACTGAACAGTTGCTGTTTTTCCCTGCATCTTATCCCTAACAGATGCACCAGTTGCATTCTAAACAATTGTTTATGATTTTGATAGTTTCTACCCTGATTTATTTCTAAGATATTTTAGGTAGGAAAACAGGGATAAAGGGAAAATACAAGTAAAAAAAAAGAAATGACAGTGAGAAAAGCATGATGAAGCCAGAGATGAAGTCAATACATCAAATATCCTCGACACTTGCTAAAGGCAGCTCACAGATTTGGCCAAAGCAAAGAGCAAAACAAGAGTTCCAAACACCTCACCAGTGCTCTGTGAGAACCTGGCTGTCCTGAGCCTGTAATAGATACAATAGAGATAGAATAGAGTTAAGACAGTGCACTGAGGGAAGACATTCCTTCTTTATTTTTTATGATCCAAACTCGGGTGCCCTATGGAATTGGAGCGGCAGAGGCAGCCACAGGACTGGGAGGAAGGTGGCCCAGCTGATGGGAGAAGAAGAGAGGAAGAGCTTGGCAGTAGGGAGAGCCAAGAAAAGAGGTGGGGAGCATGCTCAGAAAGTGTGGCCGTTAGAGGCAGCTGTCCAAATGTTACTTCAGTGTGGATGTGTTATTCAGGTCACAGAAAAGGAAAGCATTTAGTATTATTTATCAAAAGTTCAACTAAATTGTACTGAAGTGTTTATAGTACCACATGGCCTGCCCTCTCTTCAGCCCTGACCTTGGTCAGATTCCTTTTTGGTACCTTGGCTGCTTTTTCTAGCCAAGCCCTACTTGGAGTTGAGCTTTGTATGTAGAGGAAGGAGGGATTGCCTTGGGCTTGGATTGCAACAAAACATTGTAAGAAAACATTGGAATTCCTAGCAGAGGGAGCATAGTTCTAACAATGTTTAGGAAAAACTGGAGACCATCTTTATGTCTACACCAAATGACAATACTTTATGACAATGCTTTCCAGGATATTTCATACATAAAATTATCACTCTCGATCTTGATTGAAAAACAAGTAATTCTATGATTATAGCTCTGCTAAGAGAGATTTGCTTCTAGAAGGGAGTACAAGAAACAACAATTAGTGCCAGAGTACGAGGCGAAAACGTCCCCAAAAATCAGTGTTGTTATCATTGTCTTTTCATACACAAAACCATAGCCATTGCTCAATATCAAAATAAACTTGTCTTGCTTATTTGGTGCAGATAAAGCCATCCGCTCTCCAGACAAACCAAACAAACCCTGTTGCTCACAGCACAGTATTTTGTCTTTCCAGGCATCCTACAAGCCGTTGCTGAAGCAGGTTGTGGAGGAAATATTTGATCCCGAAAGGCCAGATCCTGTTGATATTGAACACATGTCGTCAGGCCTCACTGATCTCCTTAAAACTGGATTTAGCATGTTCATGAAGGTAAAGTAGTCACAAAGAGGTCATCCTGAATGTAATGCTGTCTTTGCTGGGCGTGAAAATGCTGACACCCCCTTAACCCATCAAGTGCCCCATAAGATACCATCCCGTATTTTGGCTCTTCTGAGACCAGTTGCAATCTTTATCTAACTTCTGGTTAAAAGCAGCCTGCCCTTCAGCCTCCTACAACTTCTTTTGATATGATCACTGGGATCTTTCTGATCAATATGTGAAGACACAGCCCTTCAGGGTAGCATATTGAAAATGTTTCTCCTCCTGGCCTGCATTTTCATTTCACATGAATCCATATACTGTTCTCTTCTTCTTAATTAGAACTTATTATGCAGGGTAATAAGTGACTCTTCTCAGTCATATGATTAGCTCACCTCAAAACCTATTTTTAAAATCTTCACCTTTTTCACCCATCCCCAAACCCCCCTCCCCTCTGACAGCTGTCACTCTCTTTTCTATGAGTCTCTCTCTTTTTTGCTTGTTAGTTCATTTTGTTCATTAGATTCCACATACAAGTGAAATCAGATGGTACTTGTCCTTCTATGACTGGCTTACTTCACTTAGCATAATGCTCTCGAGGTCCATCCATGCTGTTGAAAAGGGCAAGATTTCCTTCTTTTTCATGGCTGAGTAGTATTTCATTGTGTCAGGGTACCGCAGCTTTTTTTACCCACTCATCTACTGATGGCCACTTGGGCTGGTTCCAAATCTTGGCTATTATAAATAATGCTGCAGTGAACATAGGGGTGCATATATTCTTTCAAATGAGGGTTTCAGTTTCTTCGGATATATTCCCAGAAGTGGAATTGCTGGGTCATAAGGCAGTTCCATTTTTAATTTTTTGAACTATCGCCATAGTGCTTTCCAAAGTGATGGCACCAATCTGCATTTTAAAATGACTTTTGTTTTGGCCCCACAGACTCCAGTTGACAAGTGCTAGAATTTCTCTGGCTAATATCCGGGATAGGTCAAAATTGTTGCACAGCCTTTGCAGCGGGGATGAAAGGAGGGGAAGTACACAGATGCGATCTATTTTTAACCCACTGTAAAGTTTCTGAATTTAAAAGGATCTAAACAAGATTACAGGCCGACTTCCCAGTCTATGCCAGGACTTCAGTTGTAATAACTCTTGGAAATGACAGAATGTTTTGCCAGCTTCAAAGCGTCTTTGAAATTGTGAATTAATCTACATAGGAGAGCTGGCCTTTCAGAGTTCAGTATATGCATATGCCAGGAAAATTGGTCTACTCTGAAGCCAGAGGACAGAAGTCAGACAGTCAGACTCTAGACTGAGCAGTTAACGGCTGGAATGGACATGCAGGTCCCCTTCCTGCTGTTCCCATTATCATCAACTTCTGTTGTAGTGAGTGGCTGATGTATTTTTTGTGTCTGTGTAGTGTGTTTGTGTGTTTTAAATAACATAGCACAGATCAGCATCTCAAAGATGTTCTGGGGCTCCTGTGTTGAGTGTAAGCCCAGGGCTGTTCAGTGGCCCTCATGATGACTAGTTCGTACAGAAACTTCCAGACTAGCCATCATCTCTGACTTTCTCCACTTGAGCACCCTATTCCTTCATCATAAGCTTGGACTTCATCCTGAAGAGAGACTAAAATAACCCATGTGGACCTCCAGGCCCTGGTCACTAGGATCTGAGGATGGCCCAGGAGGCTGTGTGTCCTTCCCCAGGCAGGCTGCTGAGTTCACAGTCTCGCCAAGGGTACATGTGGAAGCTCAAACCCACCTGCACCCTGCTCAACACACTGGTTTCTCATTTGTAGAGAGGCACAGTATACATGGGAGGAGGCCCCAGCTCGCTTTTTGTCCAGTGATGTTCCACAGAAAGAACTTGTTTCTTAGCAAAAGGCTCTGTGACCAAGTGTGTTTGAGAAACACTGGGTTAAACAGAAAATTAATGCAAAATTCTTTGCTGCTGGACTTCACAGTGCCTTTAATATGCTAATGGACTTTTCAGCTCTGCAGGGCCCATATAGAATGTCGTCTGTGGGAGGACCATCCACTTCATTTCCTTTCACTGTTTCATGAACCATGAGATGTCACATTTTAAAATTACCCTTTTAAACCTGCAGAGTGTTTTCTGTAGCAGTTCCTGTGGTCAGAAACTTCGCACTCCCAAGGTGAGCTTCACGTAGGAAGATAGTTGGGACCATCCTGGGCCAGCACTAGACTGCTGTGCTTCTCCCCATTCAAACCTCCCGAGTTGGAGATCATAAAGAAATGCTCCTGCCACTGAGACTGACCTCAGAGTGAGGTTTCCAAGTCATAGGTTTAAGAGGAAAGAATGTGTGTTCTCCAAGCAGCTGTCAGGATTCATCCCCCGGCCCCCAGCCGCTGCGCCTCTGCTCTCTGTTGCCAGGGGCATCTCATCTGTCTACAGGGGGTGGGGAGAGTCTCAGTGCGCAGGCCAAGGAGCCTCCCATCCCAGTCCTCCAAGGGAGACCCATTCTTTTCAGTCAATGGCAGCTGGTTCTACCCACCATTCCATAGAACTTGGCAAGGAAAGTTACCTCTGGCCCAGGGTTTCAACAAAATGGGGGTAACTGTAAAGAGGAATAGCCAATAGAGCTTTGAGAAATGAACTGAATTCCCAAAGAGCTCCCTTTTTGAGGTGGAGGTGCGGCCACCGGGAAAGGGTGACTCTGCTCTGCTTTAGGCCAGTGGATAGAAGGTGCAGAAGGCAGGTGGACTCTCCTGTGGCCATGGCTACTTACCAGTCTCCCTGGTCCTATTTTCCATTGTTTCTCACTTGCTACCCAAAGTTATGCAGTAGGCCTGTGCTCAGCATATATCATGGGGTCACTGTTCCCATATTTAAACCTCACAACAATCCTAGGAAGTAGGTTCTGTCGTTACCCCTGCTTTACCACTGGGGAAACAGGCCCAGAAAGGTTAAGCAGTAGATGTGAACTTCCAGAAGGCTGGGATTGGCTCATACTCTTCTGTTCTCAGGTGTTTTCCAAAGAGCAAAGAGGAGTTGGGACAGCAGGATTTGTCCCCAGGCCAGTCTTATTCCAAAGCCCAAGCTCTTCACCATGACATGTTTTGGCTCCAGGATGCTTTAAGCATTTCCTTGGAAGTTAACTATTCATATGTCTTTAATTCTTTTCTTCATGATTACTCATTAGCACAGATATTTTCCCTCTCCAGTGCCTGTGCAGCTCATGAATAAAATCCATGCCTAGACTGGTCATCAAGGCTGGCAGAGTGAGGGAAATCTCCCAGGGCCCATCTGCTGGTACCCTGTCTGCTTTTCTGGGACTCAACCCCACAACTCATTGGCAGTGCACACGCCCCCATCCCACCCCAACCCCGCCAGGAGAAGAAATGCGTGTATTGGCATTGAATTGCCTCTACATATTACATCTCTGTATCAGCAGCCAACAGTCATTGCTTTGTTGCCACTTGCTGCCCCACTCTTTGCCCCTGGGACCTAATCCCCCACTCATGACTCACTGAGTGGGTGCTGAGCCTGAAAGAAACAAAAAGATAGAGCCTGATGAAATGAAGGCCCCATGTGGGATCCTTCCGGTGCTCAGGGAAGTTCAGAGAGTTCGAGAACTGGGAAGGGAGCTGAGCTACTAGTCTGTCCCTTCCCGGTCTCTGGACCCACATATGGTGTCACAGTGGTGTTAGCTCAGATCACCCAGAGGCAGGATCTATTGCTCTGGCATGGCTGAGGGCAGATTGAGAAACTGGGAAAGACGTGCTGGAAACAAGGCCAGCAGACATGGCCACAGGTGTGCTGTGGTGCCCCACTGCAGGTAACAGAAAGGAGACAGGGAGGGTTTTCCAGGCCCCCGGCACATGCCTCTTCAGGGCTTCATATCTCCTGTGCACACCTCTGTGGCTTCGTGCATACGTTGTTTTATAGTGATGCATGTTAGATATCTTTTCCCAAGCTTTGTTTTCTAACTGCAGAGTAGGACTCAAGATATCAATTCAGTGGATTGTAATCAGTATTTTTTAATGAAAAAAAAGAATAGAGCAGACTAGTGAGGTAAAACCTTGCATCTAGCAAGGCGACCCCAAACAACCCAGTGCATACATACACACGTATGACTTTAATGTGTCTCTTGCACAATCAAAAGAATGGAAGCTGTGGCTAGGAGAATGGAGGGCTGATCTAGGTCTATTTTTTCTGCATCCACCACACGTGGGGCCAAGTGCCAGGCTGGCTTTACACACAGCAGGCATTTGCTGAAGGTCAGGAGGGTGGTCCCCGTCGCCAGTTAGAGTCATTGGTTCCTCGTTCCAACTTTCTGCCCTTAAGCCAAAAGCTACATTTCAACAACTTTACAGGGGGTAGAAGGTAGCAGCCCGATCAGTCAACTCCAGTGACCCTCAAAGGAATCCCTGACCCTCTTTTTTAGCTGCTGCCAAGCTAGGCGAAGCTGGTCATTGTTTTGTCATTACGTAACCCCAGAGAAGCAGCACCGCTTGCTCCCGCGCACCCCCGCGCTCCCAGGTGTGCGGAGGAGTCGGACGCCGGACTCCACCTCTGTCAAAGAAACCTGGTGATCTCCGCTCCTGTCCACACGCAGTATGCAGATCTTTTTCTAACTTCTTTGTCTCTAGAGAACAGAACGGAAGCAAAGGGGCTGATTGTGCAGTGTGAGAACTCAAAGGAATCAAGAAGAGATATGTCCTAACAGGTGGTTGGGTAGCAGGATGAGAGTTCTGGGGGGAGATTTGAGGACCTCTTTTCTGTTTAACATCTGTAATATTTTTGTTTGATTTTGTAAATAATAGAAGGCCATCTAGTATATGTTTCCTAACAGCAGTCACTTTATTCTACTGTTTATATCTACTTACAGAGGGCAATAGAGATTTGTGATAAAACATGTAGGTCAGACTGTCTGGTTAGAACAAGCTCCACCACTTACTAGCTGTTTGACGTGGGTGCATCGCTAGACCTCTCTGGGCCTAAGTGTCCTCATCTGTGAAATGGGGACAGTAGTAGTGCCTACTGTGTA